CCATGACAACTGGGCCACTATGCTCGAGTGTGCAGTGAGCACGCTCTCAGCACAGAAACTTTGGCTGTCCATGGACATATATATGTGCTTTGTGGACATTAAAGCCTACTCTCTTTGCCGCTGCACCTACTGTATGTTTTACGTGAGCTGCAAAAGGTTAGGAGAGCCAGTTCTTCACACCCTTCTGTTGCACACTTTTTTGCAGGTTTTTAACTGACACATTTGTACCTGTACCTTCACAATGTTTATTGGGTTGATTACTTTAGGAGCAAACAAGCTTGATCCGTATCTTCCAAATACAGTATGGCCTACTATAAAAAAAAACTAGATCCCAACCCTAGCCAAGGCTGTTTTTTAGCATGAGGAAGATTAAGAATTCCTGCCACATGTTTATTATTGTCTTTGTTTGAGGAGCTTTGCCCTCACATCCTGTCTTGATGACTAGTGTCACCATGTCATCACCAGGAGCAAGGAGAAATTTTTATTTATTTTTAGTTTGGGGTTACCATACCAATACTACATTTTTATTGCTGCTTATGTTTAACAATAATGATAAGTTTAGAATATGGCTTAATTTAAGGGTTGCCAAGGAATGCTCTTTACTTTTGGGGTCATTACCACAAATTTCCCCTTACAGATAGTTAAAAAGGTTACTGGTGTCAGTGGTTACTTATCTGAGAGCCAGAAATTGCTCAATGCTCAGGGAACCAAGAAACCTTTGGAGGAACCCTACGGTTCCAAAGAACCCTGGTTGAGAATGGCTGAGTTAGATTAATGGGGCATTTTTAGGGATTCGTTTTTACATTACAGACAAGCTTATGAATTGGGTTAGGTTAAGAGCAGGGTTAGGATAACTTGGTAATTTCATATTCATCTTTTTTTTGATTTAATAACCAAGCTTTTTGGGGCTCGGGCAGTGTGTGTAAATGTCATTGTCATTGTAAGTTCCTGTGTATAACACCAAAAAATGCGTACTGAACAAAGGGCATAGAAAGTAGTGTCATACATTCTCTGTAACATAGGTTTACATACCTCTGCTGTGACTCTGTATCTTGAAATTTCCATACAACATGGCAGAAAATTGTCCGTTTCCTAAAATATTATCTGCCCGTGTGAGGTCGTTTTCAGTTTGTACCTTCAACTTAGTTGCAGACATTTAGATTTTGTCAGGTAGTAATGGAATTCCTGATCTTACCATGTGTGGCCATATTTAAAATATTAATTTCTTTATTAAAAGGTTTGCATCTATATATAGGATGATTGCCACCCAAGCCGTGACCTATGACAGACACCCTCAGTCAGTATTACTTGGGGAAGGGTCAACAGCTAGGTTGGAGGTTTCAACTGTCAGATAATACAGATACAATGGGTGTTTACAAACTTTCCTTTTTATACAAGTATGCACCTGTACACCATATAGGCACATTTTTAACATATATGTAGCTGGAAATTGACCATTTGGTGGTTGGATTGTGCTTTTTCTTGCACCTGCCGTGTAATGTTTATAGTTTGTGTTAGATTCGACTGGTATAACAAAGTAGTAGAAGCCAAAGCTCTGTCATTTACCTAGGTTATCTGTTATCAAGGGAAGAGCTGATGTTCCTAAAATGCTGTACACTTAAGGACCATACACACGATAGATTATCGTACAATGGCTCCTACGATTTTTCTAAGTCTGCATTCACACTTGCGCGTTTTGTACCTTGAAGCTCGAAGCTCCAAAAAATCAATTGGTCTCTATGGTGTCTGTTCACATGATCAGGTGTGAACAGGCCCCATAGAGTACAACTGATTTTTTAAGTTTGAGCATTTTTGGAACTTTGAGCATCGAGCTTCAAGCTACAAAACGCTCAAGTGTGAATGCAGCCTGATTGTTAGTATACAGCTTTCGAGAGCTGATCATGATAGTTCATGCGACAATAACCAAAGGGACAAGTGCAAAAATGTTTCTAGTACGATACCAGATCGTATGATTTTTGCTTAATCAGTACAGTAGTCATCTGAAAATACAATACAAATACAACACAATAAATGGCCTCACTTCCAAAATTCAGTTCTGTCGTATTATCGTAAGTTGAATAATAACCTTTTCATTTTCGATATGGAGACTAGCATGCAAAAAAAAAAAAATTGACGATCATTCATCCAATATTCTCATCGTGTGTAAATTAGTAAAACTGGAGAGGTAAAAGTCTGGTGCAACTCTGCATAGAAACTAATCAGCTTCCAGGTTTTATTGCCAAAGCTTAGTTGAACAGGTTGAAGTTGGAAGCTGATTGGCTACCATGTACCATATACTGAGTGCACCAATTTTAGTAAATCTTCTTCTTAGTGTATGTAGTAACACCGATCTATATAAAAGGGAATATATAAAATTGTTGTATATATTCTGGGAAATTATTAAAGGGTGTCAGAGGCATCTCTTAGAATTCCCCCAAGGCACAGCGCTGAAATTGTCAATGCTTGGGTCTGATTCATGTACCTGTCCAGAGACATGTACAATAATCCATCTGTGTCTACACTGAGGAAGAAATGTCCATAGTGCACTCACTCCCACCCTCCCTCACTCTGCAGCCACTGTGCCCAGCACACTGACAGACGCATGTTGCAAGAAGTTTTGTACTGGGGTGAGCAGACGATCATACCGAACTGAAAGACTACTATCCCAGTAGGTCTGCTTTTCTTTGATTCCATATCCATAGCTGCTATTCAGTCAGTTAATTGTTTTAATATGGTACAGTAAAGCAATTTGTCATAGAAATTATTCCAAACTATCAAAAATACAATAGTTCAACACATATTCAGCATGTAAGAATTACATGAAAGAGACAAACTAGTGCAAAACATTGCTACAGTCTCTATACCGCTTTGCATAGGTGCTAGACTATTTTGCGCCCTAGGCAAGACCAGTTACTTGCAACCCCCCATCCCCCCCAAAAAAAGTAATAAAACTTCACCTGTAGTTCTACTTCACCCCTCCTAGCACACATCCTTTTTCCCCTCAAATTTGCAACCCTAACACAAATCTTCTCCCCGAAATCCCCCCTCCTACCATAAAGTCCCCCAATCCTGCCTCCTAGCACAAATCTCCCTATATTCCTCCTTCTAGCACAACCCCCTCCAAATTACCCTTCCCAGCATGAATCCTTCCTTCCCACCAAATTCCCCCCCCTAGTTCAAATCCCCCCCTCCTAGCACAGACCTTCCCAATCCCCCCTTCTAGCACAATCCCCCCCACCCCCTATCCTAGCACAAATTCCCCCCAATCCCCCCTCCTAGCACAAATCCCCCCCCCCAATCCTCTCTCCTAGCACAACCCGCCCAATCCCCTCTCCTAGCGCAAATCCCCCCCCCCCCCCCACCACCACCAATTCCTTGTCCTGGCACAAATTCCCCCCAACCCCCCTTCCTAGTACAAATCCCCCCCAATCCTCTCTCCTAGCACAACCCCCCCAATCCCCCCTCTCAACACCAATTCCTCTTCCTTAGAGGTGCAAGTTGTATTGTGCTCTCACTCCTGTCAGTGGAGCACTCCACCATACAGCAGATGACACAGGATCACTCTTGGATAAACCTGTACACAGTTTAATTACCCCACCCCCTCTCTCCTCAGCTCATCTCACAGCAGCATGGAGCCAGGGAATTAATTCAACACTGAACATGCCAATGTAAGAGTAATCCTGTGTCATCTGATTTATGGAGGATCACTCCACTGACAGGAAAGGAGAGCCCAGCCCACACCACCCAACTCCCTTCTGTCATTTCTCCTTTGCAGGCTTCACTGCTCCAGGCTGCTCTCCCCTTGTCCCAGTCATGAGTGCGAGGATGCGGGAAGGCACAATTGAAATCTGAGGAGGCGTAGCCCACCCCAGCACCCTTCCAGATCTGGCCATAGTGGAGAGTAGGGAAACCAGCGGCCTTGGCTGCCTAGTGGAAGCACCGACCCTGGCTACAAGTAAACTCAGCGAGACAATAGGGCCATATGGCCCAAGAGAAATCAGTAAAAATAAAGCTAATGGAACTGAGCTAATACAAAAATAAAATCCAGGTATACTACCAAATCTAACATGTATGTATCATTCGTATATCTCCAGGTATATCTGTATGACTCATTACTTATGAGAAGTCAAACAATTTTCAGTTTAAATCTGAGCGATAAAGGTGGTATAGGAAAGGAAATATATAGTGCTGGCCAAATATGTTAAACATACAAAGGTGCTTATCCAAAAATTGCAGAGCCATAAAAAAACATACGGAGAAGAAAAAGGGACTTTTTAAGCACAAAGAAAAAAAGATCTTATGTAAAAAATACAAATTTATTGAACATAGCACATCAATGAAAAAACAGACACAATCCACAAAACATAATTTTGATATGGAAGGTGATGATTAAGCTATATAGTATATCACCAAAGGGAAAAGCCCCAATGCATTTCAATTCATTGAATTTATCATTTGAATCTTCTTCAGTGGGTAAGGTGATATGCCCTAAACAGTAGTATCGCCATTCATAATAACAGAAGATCAAAGGATCCTTGCTGGTTAATTCCAGGCATCGTCTATACAAACAGACCCCTCAGTGTTCCAACTGAATAAATTAATGATAAAATTGTCTAATGGAGGTTAACTGGGAATTGAAAATAGTAATATACCCTTTGTCAAGCACTTAGATCAACCCAGACATATGGACTAGATCACTGATGAGCTTCCCCTGTATGAGGTATCAAAGTGTGAACTCAACAAAATGTTTCCACAAATGGTCTCTCCATCTTATACCAAGATGGAAACAGCCCAGAGAACCACCACAGCTACAGCTCCCACTTGCAAAAGGGAGCTGTAGCTGTGGTGGTTCTCTGGGCTGTTTTCAATTCCCTATTGGCCCTTAGACAATTTTATCATTCATAGAACTGATAACAAGGATGTTACAAGATAAACGGGTCACACTCCAGAAGGGTAAAGCAAGAGGCAACCCATCAACAGAAATCTGGGCTTCTATGTGGCTTTTGCAAAGGTGGACTCCAGGGCCTCCACTTGTTCTTCAGAGTTGTGGAGTGCAGCTGTAAATTCTTCCACATGATGGATGTAATTGATTTTAGAATAACATAGGACCAGGGGTGGACTGACCATTTGGAAACTTGGGCACTGCCCGAGGTCCCAGGGTCAGTAGGGGGCCCCATAAGATGCCCCTGGTACCTTTTTCATAGGCTTTTTTGAGTTTGGGCAAGGACACAGGGGCCCCATGATCCCCTATTGCCCGGGGCCCCTATGAGTTGTCAGTCCACCCCTGCATAGGACTCTGTTAGTGGTCTAGGTTGCCTCCACATACCAGGTTTCTAATGCACCCACTGCCATGTGCTGTCAATTAAAAGTAAAGCAGACCTGATGGGGAACTAGTTTCTGAGTTCCCCAACATGCTTCACTCACCCATTGACAAATCATTTCCTAAATATAAGCATTGCCCATATTTACATGAGATCACCTGTACCCTTATTTACATTTAGCTTTTGGTTGGGGAATCTCATGGTTGTCAGCTGAATAGGGCTGGAGATACAGCTCTGCGTAGGAAGTTGTCACATGCATGACAGCTTCCTAAGTCAAATAGCTCAATCTCAAACTACACACATGGGCTGAATGAGTCAGATGTGTTTATTTTTTATCTGATTTTTTTCATTATATCTTTTATTGTTTTTTTTCCAATACATAAATCAACATCATATCATATTTATCAAAAATACAAACATTTCACATAGATTATCTATCCTCGTCCCCTTCCCCCATATCCCAAACCCCACATTAAATTGCCCCTGTCCATGTAGTTCTTTGCACCTCTTTTCTTCCATATTTTCATGTCCATGTCTATATCCCTTTTTTTTTTTATAATCTCCTTCTACACTTCCTCTTCTCTTCATGCCTGAGTCAGATGTGTTTATCATGTTCTGCTTTGTACAGTTCCATACAAAGATTCAATTAGAGAGAGGCACACCAAAGCAAGTAGCTTCTGCTGTGCTCTTTCTTGAATAGAAAACACCATTGTCCAATCTGTATTATGTTTATTTGTAAAAGTTTATATTATGTTTAAAAGCATATCAACTTTAAAATATAAGTACAAACTCTATTATGGTTTAATTTTAAGCATTAACATACGAATACAACATAATCACTAGAAATTAATAACCCAGGTAATCTTCCTAACCTTTTGTCCGAGGACATTTAATAAAATTGCCCCAAAATGCAACTTAATGTAAATATAAATGGACCTTTACTAAAAGGGTATACTAAAAGCACCAGGTCTGGACTGGATTGCTATTGCCCTCTAGCAGTTTGGGTGTTAAATAGCAAGATCAACAGGGAATAATAAGAAAAAATTAAAAATAACTTACAGACAACAGATACGCCATATGGAATAGATACATAATCACTTTAGGCTTGTTTCCTTTGTAAATGTTTTCCTTTTTATTTAATAATGCTAATTTCTTTCCAAGAGGTCAGTATATCTCACGTTTGATGTCTAAATCTTTGACATCATCTGTACAGATTCCTATGGATACTTTTGTGGATGAACCTCTGTGTGGCAAAAAGAAATGTTCTTCCATCATCACTAACATCTGGCAGGATTTTCTTACAAAGAAAATATCACATATCTGAAATAGGTGAGACAATATATATTCTTAATTATTAACCTGGTTTCTGTTACCCCAGTGTGTTATTATTATTCGTGATGACCTAAGAATAGGTATTGGGTTGCCATAAAGCTTCTTTTACACACCTATTAGTTACAATTTAGATTATTTTTTAGACCTGGGCAGTGATATGAGGCAGCACGTTGTGATTATCACTTTTTAATTCCCATAACATTAAATAAATTCTGCTTGAAAAAAGAAAATAACTCTGACAACAATCTGCCTTATTTGTCTATGACCTATTTTGTTACATTTTAATGAGATTTCAATAGGTACAAAGACGATAATAAGAAAGAGTATTGCAGATATCCTAGTTTCTTGGAGTTTCTTCTTTTCTTTTCTTTTCTTTTCGGTTTATGATATGCAAGGTAGGACTAGGAATTTTTAGCCTGGAAGGCAAACACTATCAAAAGGGCATTTCATGGCAGGGACAGACTAAAGAAAACACACCCCAGAAGGTATGCTGCAGTGACAGGTGGCTATGCTGAAAGGTGGGTGGTTGTCTTAAGCACTTGAGAATCATAAATGTAGCAGATACACCCTAAAAAATTCAACAACATTCTTGGATATTTCTCCTATGTTGCAGCTCCCCCATTGCTTTTACCAGCAATTACCAGCTGCCAAAATGCAGTTGCTCCTGTGTAAAATGACAAGTGTCATTGAGTAATACAACATAACATTGTATTGTTTCATTGTATTTACTGCATTTTTGAAATGTAAATATAACCTTTGATCTGCATATGACATCACCTTGCAAGTCAGAAGATGTTTTTTTGTACCTAACTTAAATGTTTTTCTATTTGATCTTTTATTAACCATTTGTTCACCTTAACCAGTGTTAATTTACTACTTTCTCCCCTTCTCCTCTTAGCTGCTATATTCCTACTTATTTTTTTTTCTATTTTTTCTATTTTCTAACATTAATGTTTTGTTTTTTTGCTTGTTTTATTTCAATGTCACATGAAAAAAAGTGACAGACTGACCATTTGGAAACTCGGGCACTGCCCGAGGGCCTGGGGTCAGTAGGGGGCCCCATGAGATGCCCCTGGTACCTTTTTCATAGGCATATTTGAGTTTGGGCAAAGACACAGGGGCCCCATGATCCCCTATTGCCCGGGGGCCCCATGAGTTGTCAGTCCGCCCCTGGACACGTCTTGCTGCTTCACATACATCTGATTACCCTGGTCCTGTGGACAAGCCAGGTGACAAAGCCCAAGGAGCCACTCCACTTGACATTCAAGCTGTAACACGGAGGGTGCACACTGATGATTTTTCCAACTTTCAAGTTGTTTATTAGCAAACTTCTGCTTGTTAAACAATTTGGATGCTGGAAAAGTCATCAGTGTGCAGCCTGGTTTTTACAGATTGAAAAAAAGTACTTCTCATTTGCAAATAACTTTGCAACTTGCTAACTTTGTAGCAGAAACATTTTAGTTTCATTTTAAAAAGAAAAAAAAAAATAGAACAAAATGTATTCTTTTTTTACATTGGTTAAATATATACTTTTTATTTAGTAATAGTTGTGAAAAGAGAAAGAAAACACTTTTTTTATTTCTGTATTTTTGTCTTTAGATTACACAGCAAATAAAATAACTTTGGCAAGATAGTATCACCAAAAGAAAGGCCCAAAAAGTTATCCTAGGTCCTGACATCTGCATTATGCACTCCTGAACCCTGCACTCTGTGTGATATGCACTCCTGACCCCTGAACTCTGACACACTCCTGACCCCTCTGTGTGTTACACACTCCTGACCCCTGAACTCTGTGTGTTACACACTCCTGACTCCTGCACTCTATGTGATACATGCTTCTGAGACCTGCACTTTGTGTGGTAGGGACTTGCTGACCCCTGCACTCTGTGTGATAGGCACTCCCAAGGCCTGCAATGTATGTGGAATGCACTCCTGAGCCCTGCACTCTGTGCATTACACACTTCAGAGCCCTGACCTCTGTGCATTACACACTCTCCAGCCCTGCACTATTTATACTGTGTTGTACATTTCATATTCTTGTCCACTGCACTCTGTAAGCTGGGGTTTATATGGCATACTCCTGACCACTGTACACTAAGTAATTTATTTCATCTGAAGTTCTTTTTCTTAAGGCAGGCTCTGTGCAAACAAAGGATATGTATTGAGAGTTTAATTTTTTAAAAATGAGTGTGCTGAGGTTTGTGCATGTCTGTTACACAATCACATGTGGCACAGTAATAAAAACAGATTTTGTGGATAAAAGCACTGTTGAGTACATGTAGCGCCCCTCAAACTTAGCTAGGGGGAGCTAGTTAGTTTTTTAGGTAGAGGTTGAGTAGCAGCCTGGAATGAGTCAACCAGGCTACTCTATATCAGGGCTGAGGGCTCTGCTGGTCAGTTCGCTGATACCTACCCCTGTTCTGGAAGCTTGGGACGGTTCTGGAAGGCAGTGGGTGGTTGTGAGGAGGGGCTGATCTTCATGCTGAAGGGATTCTGACCAATCCCCAAGCAGGAGGTTTCGCCATAGGGTCAGGGCGGCACTTAAGTGTTAGAGAACCGTTCAGCAGGGGAGAGAGCAGTCAGGTGGAAAACCCAACTAGCTTCTCATCTGGGGCTGCTTTGCTAAGCGGCAGTTTCTGGGTCCCTTTACCCAGGGATACCCTCAAGCAGCTGGGTGGAGAGGAGGATTCACCAATGGTCTGAGATGGTACACCAGAAGAGAGCTGAATACTCTTAAAGGAGAGACTATTTTTTCCACATCTGTACATAGTTGCTAAGGAGTTCGTCCTCAAAGTTTGCAGTTTTCTTGGGTATCTCCAAACATACACCCCTAAACACAATCAAAGTTATCAACCCCTTAATAAAATCACAAAACCAAGCTCAAGGACTGTTTACTGACTCTGAATGCGACGTGTGGAAGAAAATGCATGTTGCCTGGCTGTGCAGAGCTGTATGGGGACCCAAAACTCAGTGAGTAGGCTCAAGCTTTACATGATCCTTTAAAGCATAATCCTTTACATCCCTGTCACTGTTAGAGTATTTGGGATATTTAATTAAGGTAAGCCACCATACATTTCAGTAGTTCCAGACTATTTCACCTTATCCTCAGCCTATTTTCTCAACCAGTATTGCTAGCAAAGCTATCTTTTCCCGATTTGGCTGCTTGCTGGATGTGGATCTTAGTATAGATACAGAATGTTTTCTCCTTAAGTTTGGCATATCACCAAGCACAATGTACATTTGTAGACGTTCTCATTCGTATTAATAGTGGAAAGCTTCTGGGAGATCTCTGTCCTGTCTGGCACACTGCATGTTGTTCAATCAATTTCCAGATTATTGTTTTGTTTCAAGGCCAACTTATCATATTCAGCACTGACAGTGACAAAACAAGCAGAATGTGACCTAGCTCACCTATTTGTTGTAGATTTTAGGTACATTAAATGCGCTGTTGTGTTTCCCATTTTGCTAATAGGTGTGTGGCTTTGCCACGTACGGAAGTTTTTATGAAATGTGTTCCTTGCTGAAACGTGCTGATCGTGGTGATTGTGGCCTAGCTAGCTCTGCTTCCACAAAAAGTCAAGACAGTTTTGGTAGATATGAACCCCAATAGTACCAGTGGACATCATGGAAAGAATGTACTTAAAGTGGAGTTCCACCTGAAAAAAAATAAATAAATAAAAGTCAGCAGCTACAAACACTTTAGCTGCTGACTTTTAAAATACAGCAAATAATGTAATATAAGAGTCTTCAGGAGTATAGGAAGGATTATCTCAGCTAAGCACACCCTCCTGCCTGCATGCCTGAGCTAAGCACAGATGGATCCCAGGAAGTAAATGCTACATGAATCATTTGCTCTTACTCAATATGGCTGGGCCAGAAATGCTAAGGGGGTGTTTTGCAAAGTGATCTTTCAACAAAGTTTTCTTTGACAATTAAAAATGAATTAATTAGTGTTTTTGGTCTGTGCTGGGGCAGTAGTGAGTCTATGCTCTAGAAGAGTTCCTGAACAACTATGAGGGCTCTCTGGTACATATGGGTTCTTCCAGGGCCGTGGATAAGGGGGTACCACCAGTCCTCCTATATGGGGCCCAGGCCAGCTGGGGGGCCCAGACAGCTAGGTGAATCGGATGTGGGTAGGGAGGGTGATCAGCACATTGTGGGGGGCAATTACTGGAACTGATCCCCTGTATGGCTCTCTCTGCAGCAGCTAAAAGCTGGCTTCTTCTCCTCTCCCTCTTGCTGGCTTTCAGCTGCTGCAGACAGAGAGCTATACAAGGGGATCGGTTCCAGTAACTCCCCCTTGCCACACCCATGACCATCCCTTTACGCCATATGTTTCCCCCTGATGCCCAAGCCCCCCAGTGTGCCCCCCACACTGCAGTGTTACCAGCTTCCCTCCTCTGCTTCCCACCTGCAGCAGCAAGTACACAATAGCATCCTACAGGATGGAGAGTGGAGGAAAGGGTCCGGTAAATATGTCACATTTACCAGCCCCTTCTTTTCCTGAATGAACACAATGAGTGATCGGTACTGATCACTCACTGTGTTCTTTCATAACTGAAGCATAGTAAACTGTGGGGGGGGGGTTTGGGGGGGGCAAGGGGTTTTGGGGGGGGCAAGCCCTCTCAAGTTGGATGTAGGGGGCCCCGTGGTTTCTAACAGCAGCCCTGGATTCCTCCCCCTCCTTCTTAATCTCCCTTTTCAAAGCACAATAGATATCTATTAAGTCCACAGTTGACACTTTACCACACCTTATGTAAAATGGTTGGCACGACTGCAGCATTTTATACAGACTTATGTACAGTATAGTGCCCTCTATATATGTATATATATATATATATATATATATACACTATATTGTATCGTTGAGCATCTCTGTTTCATATATCCCATCCTGACACATAATGAGAAGGAGTTTTGCATCTAGTTAACGTGTTACTAGACCCAGGACCCTGCATTCACTATATCTGATCTCCCACAGTACACAGAACATGGAAGTGCAATTATTTTAGTAAATATAAACTGCTAAATACATTTTCTCATCAGCAGTTAGAGCAGTCTTGTGACTTCTATTAGTGTTCAGCAGAACACTGGTTAAAGCTTGTAGGAGGAGTTTTCTTTCTGCTCTAGGAGGATGTAGGACCCCTGACCTCTGTGTGGACAGTGCTGATTAACCCTGTGCTTATCACATGCACTCTCCCAAGAAAAAAAAAACACTCTAGCAATACACACTAAACTGAGCATGTGCAGAATGGCTACGGGTTCAGTCTGTCTCATCAGGAGATAAGACACGGACATTTTAACAAGAAGAAGAGCAGAGAAGACAGGATCAAACAGCCTTTTTACACAATGCATTAACCCCTTAGGTTCCACAGTGAGTATAACAGGCATGTTGTACTGCATATACAGACTGATTTTACTGTTGTGGGTTTAGTAACACTTTAATCTTTTTGTTAGTGTATCCATATGTTACAACAGGATGCTGCTGCAACATAGGGGCTGAAGCATGGAGTATGGTACATGACATGGGGACACACAGTAGGCACCCAACACTCCAAAAAGTTTTACATGCTAAGAAACCTGCTTAAGGCTGGGAGGGTAGAAGACGAAGGCTGAAGGGGAGGTGAGTATTCTGTTGCAGTGAACTTCCTTTTGGATTTAGTTATACAACTGAGTCACTTTAAAGTAGTATCTTATCCTATGAGTTAGTTAAAGCATGATTATTTGTATGCATTAACCCACTTTGCATTAAGGCAGGCTGATTATTTGAATACATTGGCAATTCACATTTACTAAACTTTACCATTCGGTTACAGTAGTGTGCATTAAAATACATATTTTAACACATATTACCAAGCATCTATAGATGAGAATCCAGCTTTACTAAACTTGTGGTTACAGCACGCAATTCAGCCCAATGTTTGTCGCATGCTACATCTGTATTATATGAGATGATATACCACAAATATTTTAGAAGAATATGCCAGTCACATCTAAGAAAGTGACCGTGACAGATTAATAATTTCACACTTCAAAACAATTGTTTGACAAGCTGATGTTGGCGTGTAAAAGTCACACCAAAACATTAGAACTTTAATTGGGTGATGTTAAAGTTTGGGAAGATGTCCATGATCAACCAGCTATATTTATATCAC